TCCTGAACCATCCCTTAGTTATGCTGCTATAGGCCTAGACTGCCGGGGGATTTCCCATGATGCACTGAGCTCCTCTCTCCTCTACTTTCTCTCCCTCTGTATGCAACCTTATCCCATTATTGCATGTTACTAACACAACTTCTCCCCTTTCTGGTAGTCTTGTGCTTTCTCGTCCCTCTCCTCTCTCCTCCTATCACTTCCTGCAGGTTTTCTGGCTCTGGAGCTGTGGAGTCTGGATCTGTGGCTGCGGGTCGCCTGCTGCCCCCGTGTTCCTGCTCGACACCCTCTACTGCAACGACTATTGTTGCTAGTCTTATTGTTATTATAATCATTAACATTACGATGGTTACCATTAACACTATTATAAATATCTGTACCATTTTTCATTTAGTTTATAGCAACATTACCTTCGCTGTCTGTACCTCTGTGTGTATATTGTGTAGGCTGCCTCCCTCCCCTCTCTCTCTCTCTCTCTCTCTCTCTCTCTCTCTCTCTCTCTCTCTCTCTCTCTCACCCCAACCGGTCGAGGCAGATGGCCGCCCACCCTGAGTCATGGTTCTGCTCGAGGTTTCTGCCTCTTAAAAGGAAGTTTTTCCTTGCCTCTGTCGCCTAGTGCTGCTCTTGGTGGGAACTGTTGGGCTTCTGTAAATATCATCACAGAGTACGGTCTAGACCTGCTCTTTTATGAAAAGCGCTGTGAGATAACTGTTGTTGTGATTTGGCGCTATATAAATAAAATTGAATTGAATTGAATTGAATCTTACATAAGCTATGACGTTTATGTACGCAATATTACAGCAAATCATGTGAAACAGTGTAATTTTGTGTTTTAGTTGGTTTAAACTAGATAATTTGAGCTTGTCTGCAATGATATGTGTGATAACTTTCATCGACCACTCGATCAATACAACAAATTTCAAATAGGGCAGGAGGGAACAAAGATGAAGAGAATAAACTGAGTGATGAATAACGTAAGTAGTGTAGGCGGTGTAGTACAGGCCCAACCTGGAGGAGGAACTAGTCTAAATGACTGTATTAGTATAATATTATAAGTTTAAAGTACATTGTTAACTTAATAGTAAACTGTAAGTTTGATATTAATGTATTCATTATGTTCAATATAATTTCATATAATAGTATATTACTTACCACTAGTGTAATATTAATTCAAATTACAGCTGTTTCAGTTTGGTTGTTTTTTTATTCATTAACTTTGTGCAAGAATAATGCTCTAGGCTACATGACAGTCTCCAACCTTGATTTTAGGCAGACTACTAACTCGTCAATAATCATACCCATTTATGCAGAACATTGAGTTCAACATTTATAAAGTTTGTTGCAGCACATCAAACTTTTTTTTTTTAAAATCCCGCTCCATCCAGGCTGTGATTGATCTGTTCACAAAAAGTGACACTGACGAGAGCATCGGCTTTATGAGAAGTTGAATGTGTTTCAATAAAAGTCAGAGATTTAGCTAAATAGCCAAACGTTAGCCAAACCCACACGCTCCTTGAATTTTCACTGTTGTCTTCTGTCTTACCGATTCCGCTTCTTGCAGCGCATCCTGCTCTTGTTTTTCAGGAACGGGGCTATTCAAAGTGGCCACAGAACGACCGGCCAACCGGGTTAATCCCGTTACTCCTGATTGCCACTCCAACTATGTTTTGGACGATAAACATTGCGGGTCCGGTGGGACGGGAGATTACGGTTGGTTGTACTCATAAATCATTTTCCGGTTCGCACGGATCTATTTTTTGGAGCGTTTAAGAGTGAAGTAGTTGCTTGGTAGATCCCTGCGCCTACAGAAACAAATCACACAGTTGCTACGCACTGCCTGTCTAGTATTTTTGGCTACGCATTATAAATAAATACGTTAACTTACACTTTATCAAACAAACTTTTGGACAAACAGAATTTTCACATTGAAAAAAATATCTTCATTTAATACCTTGTTAAATGGCGATTAAGACTTTTTAATACTTTTTAACGGCCTTAATTTTCGCAAAATTAATTTTAAGACTTTTTAAGACCCCGCGGACACCCTGAAAGCATTGTGTTAGACTGGGGTTCACTGGCAGAGACAGAGTTTCTTCATAATCAAGAACAGACGTAAAAGATAATAGCTAACAGACAGACTGCCTTTAATAGTAATATACACAGCCTGGACACTTTATTTAGAGCTATACTGTGGAGTGTGGATTGCAGTTTTTAGTATGACAAGTGGGTTTTAGTAAAGAGCTGATTTAAACAATTAAAATAAAACACAATTATATCAGACTGTAAGTTAGTATTCGCACTGCTTCACTGCTCTGTGACAACTCGTGAAGATTGTTTTTCACACGGACATTATTTTAAGAGTCACTGATTTGATAATCACCTAATGACACAAGTGAAAAGCAGCCAAAGTTGAGTTTTAATGTCAGCATGGCAGCGATTCAAAAAAATACCCAAGGCACCTTATAATAAACAGTCTGTGCTCATCCTCCATCACCTACTCCTTACTAATCTTAGGAAGGTGTGGAGAGAAGGAAGGATGAGGAAGAAAGAGAAAAAAAAGGAAGAGAGAGATGTTGAAAAATAGGAGAGAGAAGAAAAAGGGGCTAGATAGGTCCAAAAATAAAGGAAGGAAGAGCACTAATGAGTACACTCAGGCTTGCTCAGTTGCTGTGACAACGCGCCGGCTCATTGCATCAAGTCACAAGACTGCATATCTAATAAATAACACACAGACACAAACAGTTGAGAGTACAGAACACAGTATTTCCCCTCAAGCTACTGTCATCTACATGGGTTTTCAAGAGTCCAAAACCCATCAGAACACAGACAGAACAGACATGTGTCCATATGCATATCCATGTGTGCCGGTAGTGAAAAATATCAAATAGGTATGCCAATGTAAAGAAACGCAGCCAAAGCTTATAAGCAAATCGATCAGGACCACCGCGCTGTGACTGTGCCAGTTGGAGTGAGTTGAATAGTTTTAGTAAAGGATAGTAGAGCTCTGCAGAAAGGAGCAAAAACCACAATGCAGTAGATCCTCCTGCATCAGGACCTCAGGCATCCACACTGACAGGCACAGTAAGCAGTACAGTTCAAATATAGCTCATGAATTGTGTGCCTGAATTTCATATACTATAAACAGATGTTTGAATTTGATAGATGTATGAAAAAGGAAATTGTCACTTCAGGGGCAGGGATGCCATCTCTTTCTGCTTCTCTGTGTCTCTGTGTTTTTAACCCTAACCCTTCCTGTCAGTTATACATTGGCGTAGGGTTGGAAAATATGGTAAGCTATATATATATATATATATATATGGTGCGATTTACATATATTAGGGCTGGGGTGAAGCGGACATTAACTCGTATAAAAGGCTGCAGCTAAAAACGACCATCTAAAGTTTGGGAGTATTTTAGACAAATGTGGTAACATTATCTCATCTGTAAGCTGTTGGTCAAGATGGCAGCAAGACAACATGCTTAAATCTTGTTTACTGTTTGTCCCTACACAAGCACGATACATTAGGATGATCAACACAAGGAACATGTCTCTACTAGTAGTCACTTAAAATGGATTTTCTAAATCACCTCCATGTTAAAAGCAAGTAAACGGAACGTAATAAATATTGATACTCCTGTTCAGGGAAATGGTTGATATACAGTGATTACATTAATCTCTATCATAGAAATTGTTTTGAATTTTTAGGTCCAGCATTTTCCGATCAGGCATATGTTATTATTATTAATATCATAACACAGCAGTGAGTCCAAATTGAACTGATTTTAAAGTATGAGATCATTATCATTATTCCAATGTACTTTATATGTCTCTTTTTCAGGATGATTTAATAAAATATTGAATTATTAATGAGACATTGTAACTTGACGAGGAAGTGATGTCCCGACTGAAGACCCGCCAGATTGCATTAATTTTCATGTTGACCCAAAAAGAGTGTGTTGACATGTAAATGCAATAGACTGTTTCGCTTATTGTTTTTAAATATTGTCCATTAAAGAGAAAATTGCATTTCGACTTAAATGTTGCTTGCATAAATGGTAAATCATTTTTTTTAAGATTTAAATTAACGTTTCATTTAAATTTTTTACTCAAATGACACATACATAGGTAGAAAATGATAATGCCATTGTGGATTTGAATGTATTCCTGGATACACTTCCATAGTGACATTCTGGAAGCACCTCTGCAGCTACCTCCAATGATCCCTGCACAGTAGGTCACAGCTGCAAGGACAGTGCATCTGGATGTGTGTGTGTTAGTGTGTGTGTGTACTGTATGTTGCTTTGTGCGTGTTTGTGTCTTAATGCCATTTGTAACTGCACAAGCACTGTAGGGAGAATGTCCTCCCCATGGGCTAGCGGAGGGCCTGGGGGCTCGAGTTGACAACGCTGATAACCAAGATCAGCTGTTCAACCAATGAACCTCCAGCATAAACAGACACACAAATACAAACACACACACACACTTGCACGCACACATGCATGAGATTTGCAGTGTGAGTTTCAGAGAGGTGCAGGGAGAAACAGATGTCACGCTGTAGCTGGGAGGAGGCCTCTTCTCATCCTCATGGCAAACTGTCTGCACACACACACACGCACACACAGAAACCGACAGGCTGCAGAGCACAGGACAGAACCTCTCAATCTCAGACTCCCCTTTGATGTTAGTTCAGCATGAGGCAAGAGCACAAAGGAAGCATCACTGTGCAAATCAAAACTCATTAAAACTGAACAACTGAAATTAGACCTGCAGACTACTGATATTGCAGCTCTAAACACTCACATAACTCAAATATCAAGTACTAAATTGTCAAGCAGAAGACTTGCATTTTTAAAAATTGACAAGGAAATTGTGCTAAATGCTGCCAGTGGTAAGACTACAACATTTAGAGGATGCATGAAGCCAAAACACGCAGTAATACATTTAAAAGTATCAGATATCAGGTGAAAGTAGGGTGTCATCTGCAAACTGTTTCTCTGCTTACCTTCCTCAGCAGATTACAGATCCTCTCGATGTTCCGCAGTCTCTCCCTCTGTGAGGAGACAAACCGGGAAAAGGTAAGTATTTATCTTCCTGGGATTCACAGAACATTTTGTTGTTGTTGACTCAGATGAGTATGGGTCATGAAAGATGAAACAAGATTGTCCTTGTACTGTAGGCAAGGAAAGTGGAAGGAAAGTAGGTGAAAAAGGCTTTAAGTACCTTTCCAGTGACTTCATAAGCTCATAAATATATTCCGCAAAAAACTGCACAGACAATCACGGTCAAATATACATTAATACATCTTGGACCTGGTAATGGTATGAGAGATGACTGAAGTCATGTGATTTGAGTCACAAACAATTCATTGATCTCATGACTTTAGACTTGACAAAATCCCAATACTCTGGGAATGGATTTCATATCCAAAATGATGAGTAGTTGTTAAGGTGTTAAGGTGCAGATAGACCGCATTTTTATATTCAAAATATACTTTGTTGTGTGGATTTAGTCTGGCATAAGAATGTTTTTGCCTGATATTACTTGTTCGCCTTTTCTAGACACACTTTTCTTTATCTAAAAGAATCAACAAAGATATTTTCAAATGAAAACCCTTCTTTTATTAAGCTAATACTCATAGCAATGCACAAGTTTGGCTTCTTATGAATCATATATCGATGTAAGTGTCACGCTGTTTGTGCTTGTGGACGGTCAGTTTGATTATATCTCTGCTTCTCATAAGCTGACGGCAAACTTCAACAACAGAGGCTTATACAGAACATCAAAGCCAGCATGTCCAAAGCTGAACTAATATTTAGTAACCACACAAGAAAAATAGGATTAAAATGTGTGAAAATGTGCTGCCTATGAACACTAAATTCATGAGTATTTTTGATACTCCACGGTGGTCTGCTTATTGTAATTAACTCTTTTAGAAAACCATGGACAGTAACTGCATATTTTGCTGCCTCTGTGTTTTTTTCTTACCTGTGCAGTAACCTGCACATTTCACTACACGTTGTACGGTGTGTGATTGTGTACGTGACTATACCAGCTTGATTTGATTTTGATTTGTCGTCATGTGTTTAATGCTGAGTGCAAGCAAGAAGCATATGATTTAGATTTTGCTGTGTGAAAATGTGACAGTGAGATTCTACCTCTGCTGAACTTCTGTGTGTGTGTATGTGTGTGTGAGAGAGAGAGAATCAGAGACAGAAGCAGGAACTGGGTGAGAGCTGTGAGGGAGATAGTTTTAGACAGACAGAATGCACTGTTTGTGTGTGTGTGTGTGTGTGTGTGTGTGTGTGTGTGTGCAGACGCAGTGAAAAACCTCATCCATCCACATCCATTTTAGTCCACTAATAGTTGTAGTTGTTGATTATCATAACAGAACTTTAAATAAATTAGTTAGTCATTATCAGTCATCTGTGATGGCAGGATATGTTTAGCCTAGCTTAGCATAAAGACTGGAAGCAGTGAGGAACAGCTAGCCTGGCTCATTTTAAATTGAAACAATTAACCAAAGTAGGCAGTCTTATTAACTTTTAATGCCATTTGTTTAACCTACACGTGAACAGAAATGTAAAAACAACAATTTGTGGGGGAGGGAGGTACATGCTGCAACAATTTCGTAGAGAACAAAAGCTGGAGGGAGAGGCAGTTCCCAAGTGTTGTCATTATAATGAGGTTGCCTGGTTTGGTATTAATGTAGTAAAACGAGACTGAAATCAAAAGCCGCACTTGCTGACTGTAACTCGCACCATACCCGAAGAAGGAGGATAGACTGGCTCGTAGATAGGAAAACTGATGTTTTTAAAGAAATAGCTTGTGTGGGTTAAAAAAACACACAAACATGTTCATCAGTGACAGGGGTTGGTAGGGTTTTTTTGCAGTTTCTTTTTTTAACTTGGACAGAGCCAAGCTAGCTGTTTCACCCTGCCTCACTGCATTCTGACCCCAGCTTTGTACTTAATCAGTATCTTTCATTAACATTGGATCTACCCATAAAGTGAAGGGATGAACCCATGAACCCACAGATAATTATCATTCGATTATGAGCTCTGGGGAGAATTTTATGGTCTTTTAGTTTATTGTTTTGATTTTACTGCCTGAAACTTTACTGTTTTGTTTCAGGCTCATCAACTAGTTTCTAGAAGCAGGCAACTGTTTTCTGTGAAAATGCTCTTACTGTACTGTACACTACCTGCCCAGCACCAAATAGCAGACATAGTTAGCAAATAGCTGGTGAACATAGTGGAGCATTTAGCAGCCGAAGAGCCAGATATTTCATTCTGGAGTTGGTAGAGACAAAAACAAATTTGAAAATTTGGATTTTCCAGGTGACCAAAAACATAACTCAAAATGAATGCAAAGGCTCCTTTCTGTCTGCAGGATGCATACGGTAAATAGACAATTGTTTGCCAACAAGATGGCAATAATATGTAATATGATGATATTGCTGTGCTGTCCCTAAGTGGCAGAAACATCAGAAAGAAAAAAGCAAATAATAAAAATAATAATATTCCCCCAAACTCTCCGGTTACGGCACTGGTAGGCTTGTTCTAAAATCTGATGTTTGATGTATTTGAAGTTTAGATGCCAAATTTTGAGGACGTAAACATACATAATTGATTACTATTTTTAAGTGCAGACTGCTACAGAGGTTTCTTATGGAAATTTATGCATGTGCTCTAAATAATGAAACTAGAGGTTCCTGAGTGTAAGGCTGATAAATAAGGGAATGGTAGTATAAAATTGAGGGTGACCACTGTATAATTTTGTAGCATATATTTATTTTTTGAATATGTTTTTGTGTGTGTGTGTGTGTGTGTGTTCACACTCGCCAACGAAAGTATCAAGTATCAAGACTTCAGCTCTCACCTCCCCAAAACACCTCATGGGACCTTCATTTCACAGGAAGATGCGGAAGATATATTGTGCTAACTTTACAGTATAAGGAGAGGCCACTTCAGCGGAATAAAGTATGACTTTGAGGTGCAATGTGTGGCAGCAGCACGATCGGCAAAAAAGAGAATCCATGATTGAGTGGAGGAAGGAGAAATGCGTGGTCGAGGTAAGAATTTGCATTCATAGCGGCAGATTATAGATTCCTGCCACGTGTACAGAAGTCATTCATGTTCTTTAAAAGGCTGAATTTAAACCCTCCCACTGTCCTTGATATGACCTCATTCGCTGCACACACATATACCCACATCCATATATGTATAGTATTTATCTGCACACACACCACAACAGCCATAAAAGGCTGATAGCTAATTATCTCTACAGCTAATGTTTATTTCTGGTTAAGACCATGCACCTCATCAAGGGCTGAACCAATTCACTCCTGCATGACACCATTTCCCCTCGCCTTCATCTCCTGCAGAGTTTGTGTGTGTTTGTCGGTGTACATGTGCGCACACACACACAGAACTGTCTATTCATTAGCAAGCAATTAGGCTGATGCCTCTTTGAAATGTTACTCAGTGAAAATTAGCTTGACAAGCGAGAGTGGCGTGGAAGTATAAACAAGAGTTGGAGGAAGGAAGGGTGAGCTGGAAAATGTGAAGTGGAGAGGTGGAGGGTTGGGTTGGAGGGGGCTTTGACCTTTATTTAACGAGGCAGACCAATTAAGGGCAAATTCTCATTTACAGGAAGTGCTTCATGTAAGTATGATTGGACAATGAACCCCTAAAGATGAAGTGGAAGAGGGTGTTCATAACGTTAATGTTCCACTGGTGCGCAGTGTGTTTAAATGCTGTGAAAAAATTTCCCCCATTGACTCAAGTAAGACTTGAACTTAAGCGGAGGAGACAGGCGTGGAGATGTGGCGATACACAGGATGACGGGAGCGTTTAAAGAGTGTGAAGAGGATACAGAAGCTGTCTCATCACTTGTGCTTGCGTCCTTGGTGGAATGCTGATGAACATCAGTTAGGCCATTAAAAACACTCCTAAAGTCCAAATTCATAAAGCATTTGAATGAACCCCCCCAATCTCTCTTCGTTCCGCTCCTTCCTCAGTTATCAATTTCAGACTGATGATAGTATCATTGCTCTTGGCTGTATGGCTGTAGCTGTATCCCTTCTGAAGTCTCTCTGCAGAGTGCGTGTGCATGTTGTTCTGGCAGAGCTAGTGAACCCAAGAGCGAGACACAAAGGGACAGGAGGCCCAAGCTATAATTTGAAAGGTGACTTTATTAAGTGCTTTAGGGGGTAAAAGGGCAACCTGGGCCCTATTTTTCCATGTTTGTGTGTCTGTGACTAAAAGGGAAATATTTTTAAATTGGTTCAGGAGTGAGCTGGCAGCAGCAAGACAGGGCTGCAATGTAGTCCTTGCGGGCAACTGCGCCTAATCTAAGTGTCTGACAACATTATGGAGAGGATCCTTACAAAGATAGACCACAAACAATCACTATATTTCTCTTGTCAAAGCCACCAGACTCCCTTGGCAATGCTAATTTTACCCACCTGGTCTACTGCTGACTCTGTCCGTTTGTGTTATTATGTGACTTCTATGTTTTTACCCCTTTAAAAAGTCACAAAACAACTTTTACTATGAGCTTTTGGGTGGGTAACTGCTCTAATTTCCATTAGAGAGAACAGTGGACTGCCTCCTGGTTTCAACTCTGGATTAGGGCCCGACCAATTTATTGGCTATATGAGCTAATTGCATTTACAGTTTTTTACGATTGTTTACACACTAAAATAAAAATGTCCACACAATTTGCAAAATTCTACTCAAATGACCAAAACACCTCCACAGATTTGCACGACATTACACACAATGTCTCCTTCACCCTTTTTGCAAAACATTACACACAGTGATCTGTAAAACTCTACACATATTTTCACACCTTAGACACAGATAAGGATTGTGAGGTTACTTCCTTGTCATTACAAAGCCACACTAATGAACAAATTGGATAATCACATCCACCAGGTGTGGAAGCACACGTGCTAATTTAAAACACAGCACTCAGGTGTGCTATAAAAAGCAGCAGGTGAGTTCACCTGTCTTCAACAAAAATGGAAGGAGCTAGAAGAAGAAGAAGAAGAAGAAAGCAGCAGCAGCAGCAGCAGCAGCAGCAGCAGTGAGTTCACCTGTCTTCAACATAAATGGAAGGAGCTAGAAGAAGAAGAAGAAAGCGAGAGCGAGAGCGAGAGCTCAAAGAGGAGATGAAGGAGGTAGAGGAGGAGGCTCAGGTAGAGGAAGAGGCCCAGGTAGAGGAAGAGAAGGAGGAAGAGGTAGAGAAGGACCTGAAGAGTTGATAGGACCTGAACAAAGAAAACACTTATTGACCATGTTATCAACCATGGACTGAAACTGATGGAAGCTGGACAAAGTGTTCAACCAAATCTCAGCAGAAATACTGTTGCGTCAGTAATTCGGACATTTCCTCGAGAAAAAAGGTAAGCTAACCACACAGTACACTGAAACTGACGCTTGCTGTACTTATCATCAGTATTGTTTACTATGACATTTGGCAGTAGGCTGCATGTGTATTTTTATTTTTTTTTATATTTTTTTTACATAGGATTGAGGGTCGAGGACACCAAGGTGGAAGGGGCCCCATGTTCACTCGTGCACAAGAGGACGTCATTGTGAACATGGTTTTGACCAATAATTGTATCAGGCTGCGAGAAATCCAAGCCAATATTATCAATGATGACCATATTTGCAATAACATCCAACGAGTCTCTCTGTCAACATTAGGTCGAATCCTCAAGAAAAATCAAATATACATGAAGCAACTGTATCGGGTACCATTTGACAGAAATTCACAGAGTGAAACATCTGCGCAATGAGTATGTGGAGGTATGTATTCATGTTATTATGGTGTGGTATTATGCACTGCTCATTATGATCTGGCACAAAAAAATACTGTGCAATAGATATTGAATAGCATCCTATTGTCTTTTACTGTGTTTCAGAGAGTCCAGCATAAATTCAACATGAATTTATATATGTGGATGAGGCTGGATTTAACCTTGCGAAAACAAGAAGAGGGAGAAATGTAATTGGACACAGGGCAATCACCAATGTGCCAGGGCAGCGAGGGGGTAACATCACCCTTTACACTGCTATTACACAAAATGGGGTCCTCCACCACTATGCAAATGTGGGACCCTATAATGCAAATCTAATACTTGCATTTCTTGACAGATTGCACAAGATTGTCACAGCATTAAACCAAGTGGACCAGATGCGGTACATTGTCGTTTGGGACAATGTCTCATTCCACCGGGCTGCTCTGGTCCAGAATTGGTTCCATGAGCACCCTGAATTTGAAGTCTTATACCTTCCCCCTTCCTCAATCCAATAGTTTTTTTTTTCAGCATGGCGGTGGAAGGTATACGATCTGCGGCCCTATGACCGTTTGCCCCTCATTCAGGCCACGGAGCAGGCCTGTGATCATATCGAAGCAGCTTCTGTGCAGGCGTGGGTTCGTCACACGAGGCGACTCTTCCAACGGTACCTTGCCAATGAAGACAATCTGTGATGTGGATGAAATCTTATGGACTGATCCAGACAGGGATGATGAATAGTTAGTTTTCTTGTTGCTTTTACAGTCAAAGTGCATGTACTTCATGCAGTAATTTTTATTTGTCAACAGATTTTATTTGTTTCATTGTTGGATTACTGTAACTGATTATGGTAAGAAATACTGTAAGTATTGAAATAAATACTTGGAATATTCAGTCTGCAGCATCAGTGTTGTGCAGTGCTTGGTAAGTTTATAGTAGGCCTCTGTGTACATTCTCCCTATATCTCAAACTAATCATGAAGAATGTTGTGGGTTTGTCACTTTTTTTCATCTAAATTAGCCCTTGCATAACAATGTCTGGCCAAAAATCTAGCACATGCCATTTCCTAGAATTAGTTCTTTTTTTTTACAAGTGTGTTTTTATTTATCACAGCAGTGTGAAACTGGCTGCAATGGTGTCTGATCATTGAGAACTGTGTTGGTTAAATGAAAACAATTGCATTTTCACAAATGTGTGTATGTTTTGACTGAAGTGTGTAATTTTTCAAACAATCTAGGAATTATGCAAATTGAGTGTGGTGTTTGGATAATTGTGATTATATTTTGAGGAAAAAGAACCCGGTTTTCAAAATTGCATGTAAACAATTGGAAAACTGTAAAAAAGAAACAGACAGATCCTCATGACATGAGTGTTGAATATTTTGCCCACCAGAGGGAGCTCTGCAGCTTCCGTGTTAACAACACTGCCTTACCAGGAAAAACCACAAAAGAAAACAATCAGCTGACCAGAGTCTACCAGAGCATGTAGAAACAGGAAAGTGACAAACCTGATTGTAGACTTATTTCTGAAACAGTGTGGCACTTCTAAATATTCTCCAACATCACGTACAGCAGTTAACACTTCCCGTTGCAAAATTAGCTATGGCGAGGAGCGCTAACATCGTAATGAGTGGTTCAACTATAGTTTCTGGCGTATTCTAAATTTATCTGCAGTTACAGTCGGCGTGTTGGAAATGACTAAACTAGAGTGAAAATGTGAGCTGAACAACAATCTAACACAGCTTTCTGCCTGACAAAGTCATCAAACATTAGGAAAATGGATATTAAGACGGGAAAGGGGTCTACTATCCAAATTTTCAAAATATCGGCTCATAAATCATCTCTTTGTCACTTTAATATCGGCATTGGCATCAGCCCCCAAAAACCCATATCGGTTGGGGTCTACACTGGATTGTCATGGTTTCTAGATTTGTAGATATGAGAGATGCTCTTTTCAAAGTGATTGTCATCTCTCCGAATCAGACCAGGTATTCCTCAGAAAGTCTGCCCGATTATTTACAAAGCCCACATCGTTTGCTGGACACCACCTCAACAGCCAGTGGTGGAATGACATGCGGCTAAACATGTCGTCATTGGTCATGTCTTTGCATATGTGCACACCGGCTCAACATTGATTTTAGTGACCTCCGATTGCCATAATTGAGAGTAGTCTCCACCAACGTGAATAACAAACTAATCTACAGTAAATCACCCAGATTCCCTGGCTTCTCCTGCTGCTCGGGAAGCCTCGCCTCCAACGCGACAACTCAACTAAACTTATGACATTATATTACACCACTGTCACTATCACACTTGTGCGTGACAGCTAGCTTGCTGAACTGCTGCAGCTTGCACACAGACAGTGTATCTGGTGTGGTGACTCTACTTCTACTAAAGGCAAAATTTTCTTTAGAAAATGATTGTGTGCTTGATGTTGAAATTGGGTGGTGAGAACATTTGAAATAGTAGAAGTAGTGAAACAGTTAAAATGGCAAAACATAAATCCTGAAAGAAAATAGCAGTTAAAATAGAAGTGCAACAGTTTAAGTTTAAGCACAGAATGAAGTTGAAGCATTAATTTAAATAGATCAAAGTTTAGGTGATAAATTGGGTTTCAGTTGATTAGGGATTCCTGACAAGATTCCTGTTTTAAGTGTAACCACTGAAAGCAGTCGAAGAAAACGGAGTATGAACGGTGGAATTTGTGGGGGTGAGAAAAGGATGTTATACATGTATACACATTGAAACACATCCTTAAAATGAATGAACACATAAACTATCAAAGAGGTTTTCAGCTCCTCCAGCAGCAGCAGCCCTACTTTTCTTGGAATTTACTAAGTTTTTGAGGGCAATAACAACTCTCCATGTGCTGTGACAATATTCACTACACTGTATCATTACATCAATACACTGTCTGACTACACATAGCCAATATAAAATAAAAGGTGTGTGTTTGTGAGAGAGAGAGAGAGAGGCACAGAGAGAAAAACTAAAAGAGAAAAGTGAAGCAAGTTCAGTTTGTAGTTTTCTGCAAATTTCATGTGAGAGAGAAATGCTGACAGAGGGGTTAGAGAAATTGTATCCGAGTGTTTGTGTGTGTGCGCATGTGTGTCTGTGAAGGGTCCGCACAATGTGAGGTTCCCCCCTGAGGGAGCAAGCTGACAGAAACTGCTAATTAGACTGCTTGGTTTCAAGAAAGAAAGAAAGTGACAAAGAGGAAGAAGGAAAGTTGGGTGGGAGATATTATGCAACAGTTAGTGAGAGATGGGTCATACGGATCATTTCTAGGAGTGTGTGATTGTGTGCAAGAGGCAAGATAAATTATGGCTAGTTAGTGTATTCGGGATGAGGCCATCAACCCGCTAGGTTAAGAAGATAGATACAGAAGATAAAGTTGGGATTTTCGCACTTTATTGCAAAACAAGATACAAGTAAGTAGAAAGAAACTATGCCCTTGAAATCCCCAGGTTGAACAATTACCTATACCAGGACAGACTTAACTATGCCTCCAGAATAAGTGAGTATGCCTATGGGTGAATTTGTTTCTTGTGTGAGTTTCTCTGTCAGCATCCAAATAACAATTGCAATTCCAACAATTGTTAGCTAATAGCACCAGACATTATTATATTTCACAAAAAGTGAGGAGAATTAAAATTTCTGTTCCACTTTGATCCGCACATATTTTAACCTCCAACTTCAATATAAAAAATGTGGTTTCATGACAAGTATACACACATAAAAAGTCAATGTTTTAAATGACTGAGTCTTTTATTTTATTTCCCACGCCTACTGTAGCTCTTTGTGCCTTTAGGGAAAACAGAAAGCTTAAATTGAAAATGGGACCTTGATTCGTTGTTACAGATACAGTCACATGTGTTCATAATAAAGTTTGTATGTAAATGACTGCTAATGGACATACATTTTGATAAGCACAAAAGAGGAAAATAAACGAAATGGGAACGACATACACTGAGCAACTTTAATATTTGAGTAGTTGTGATGTACATTTTTACAGTCAATTGCACATTGGACATTTTCATGGGCAGCAGTGACACGTCGTAAGAAGCAGGAGGCTAAATGGGAGTATGAGAAAAAATGAAAAGAAAGAGAAAATTGGATGGAACCCTTTGTACCCATTCCCCTACTGGATTCTTTGATACGCTCGGCATTGCATAATGATATGCAAATATGACAAAATATGAAAGTTGTACTGAGTGGGAAAATCTGGTCTAATGCACTGTTTTCAGTCTTTAAAATGCCTTTCAAGCAGAATAATTATTTTGCCTCTTAAGAAACCCTCACTGAGTCTTCTCTTCCTCTTTCTCTGTCTGTCTCCATCTCTAACTCTCCGTTTTCCTTCAGTTTGCAATTATTTCCTCAGTCTGTCCACAACTTTTCCCCCGCCTTTCTTCCACTCATCCCCAAGAATGAAGAAGTCAGTCCTCCACAGAAGTGATATAGTCCAGAGCTCTTAAGTCAAAGTCACCTCCAAACCAGCTGCTCAGTCTGTACTGTACCACCATGCATTATTAAGAGCCAACTGTGTTCGTAAAAGCCAAGAAGACTCAGGGGGAAAGGATTTAGTGGACTGGAATCCATCCTAAAACAACTTCACCCGGAGCAGCTTTCCCATGCTGGCCAACACTAATATACATTTTTCTCCACAACTTCCCATCATTGCTGCTGTGGCAATTTTGAGGAGCGATGAAGCAGAACAATTTGACAATTTCTTTTTGAGAATTTTTAAGAGTGACAGGGTAGTGGAAGGAGATGACACTGGGGTGAGGGGGGGAAAAAACACTCTAAACTGGCGAAGGCTCAAAGAGACTCGCTGCTTTTTACCTTCTCTCACGTCACACTTACACACACAAACACAAATAATGTTTATACATTTACATACAAAAATGCATTCAAACAGTGAAGTTTCTCAATATTCACTACATGTCCAACTTCTTTACCATGCAGCTTAGCGGAGTAGAGGATATATATATATATATATATAATAGAGTGTTTTAACCTGTGAATTGACTGTTTTTAAAACATAATATTCTGTAAGCTCAAATAAACAAAGGTTCCTAGTTAAATAGCAGGCTGGATACACAGTACCACTAAAAGCCTAAATCCCTGCATTAGCCTGAAACAGCCTTTAAATAAACATAAAAAACACAACGAGTGTGTAAACACTGTTAGTTGTGGGTGTGACCAGCTGAGAGTCTATTGGCACCTTTCAAGGTGACACTAAAGGACCCTACACAACGTATGATTTGGGCTTGCCCCACACAAAAGTTAACTATGTAAGACAAATGTGGTAAAAACAAGGTGGTCAAAATGTGAGACAGATGCTTTGGTGACCAAAGACAGACATTACTTTTTGAATCCAAATGTTATGTGATGGAGGGTGAGGTTTCATCCACCTAATTGTGATTCTCTTTAGGATTTGTAATAAACAGATTTTAACCCGTCTCTCAAAGCCTTCTGGAATTATACCAAGAGGGACTCCTTTGGGATCTTTGGGAATAGCATGATGGAACACTGCATCCTTCCAAAAGTTACTTCCTTTTGGATTTCCAGAAAATGTAATGACCACAACGTTCTACTTTTTTCTGCACTTGTCTAAGCTATTCAGATCTTTTACTTAAGCAAAAGTACCAGATCACCAATGATCTTCTCATGGCAGCTGACTCCGGACTGTGAACTATTCTCATCCTCCTTGATTTGAGTGCAGCCTTTGAAACCATCGCTCATAACATCCTCCTTGACAGATTAGTCTCTATTGGTTTCACTGATACACCCTTGGACTGGTTTAAATCATATCTCTCTGGCCGCACTCAGTTCATCCAACTCAAACATTTCAAATCAGATTTATCCTCCGTCACTACTGATGTTCTCCATGGCTCTGTCCTGGGGCCCCTTCTGTTCATCATCTTCCTCTTCCCCATTTCTTCCGTAAATTTTGCATCTATTTCCACTGCTATGCAGATGACACCCAGCTCTACCTGTCCACTAAACCTACCTCAAATCTCCTACCCACCTCCCTCTCTGATTGCCTAACGGAAATCAAATCCTGGTTCTGTTGCAACTTCCTCAATCTTAACAGAGGCAAAACCGAGGGTCTCCTCTTTGGCACCAAATCCACTTTGACTAAATCTGACAGTTTTTCTCTTACCATTGACAACTCCCCAGCTCCCCCTCCCTTCAAGTCAAGAGTCTGGGTGTGATCCTCGATAGCACACTTTCATTTCAAGCACAATTTATAATGTCACTCGGTCCCATCCCAGTGTGTGAACGTGTTCACAACCTTGCTCCTCTGGACCTCACTGGAACTCCTTCATATTAACACACCCACCAGAGCCTTCAGCCGCTTTCAGTTTTTAAATCCCGCCTGAAAACACATCTTTTTAAACTGGAATATCCAATGTGATCACTGTTTACCTGGTCACAGCAATCTTTTGTTTCCAATTGTTTATGTACCCTGATTTTATGCACTGTAATTATAGTCATTGTTAAGTGTATCGATTTATTGCTATACTGTTGTTTTATTATGTTTTGTGAGGTGACCTTGAGTGTTCTGAAAGGCACCTATAAATAAAATGTATTATTATTATTATTATTATTATTAAAAAGCTCTGTTAAAAGTAAAAGTTTTGCATTCATAATCAGTAAAAATTTAATATTAGCAGTAAATGTACTTCAAGCCTTAAAAGTACAAGTACTCATAGTAAAACTGGTCACAAACAGATGAGTGAAACCAGGTTTTCTCTTTGATTGCTTTAGCAAGGAGAAGAAACTGAACACACACACAGACACACAAATACACATACACACACCTCCCTCTCAGCCCCGATATGGCCGAGATAAGGTGCCAGATGCCTTCCTTAAAAGGAAATTAACTGCTGTATCCGATTTTTGAGCCAGATGTAATTTAAGGATAATCAGTTCTCTAATCAACAGTGTTGGGCTTGTTACTCAGAAATTATAATACATTACTTATTACAGCTTAAAAAAGCAATAATATTACCTTACCTATTACTGGGTATTAAAAGTAACTCCCCTGATGTACAACCTGTTCAGCAGCTCATTTCAGAAATGAAACGAATTTTACAGGAACAATAATTAACCTTAGGACTTAACAACCAGCCAAACTGAAAACACTGCAACCTCTCAGACCAGATGATGCTGTACAGTATAGGGTATTTAACAAAATAAGAAACAAAGCCTCTCCCAACTTTTTAATTAATAGCATATTACAGCAACAAGGAGTATGTTTTTTACTAATATTATTACAGTAATGTTACATCAATATGTAATCCACTTAACCTTCCTTAACACAGGTTGTCAATTTTAATTCTTCTAAGACATGAAATGAGCAAGTTAGTAATTCATAGAATGAACCTCTTGTGTACCATGTAACTACACTGTCATAAAGTGACCAATAGAAGTCTCTGTAACCATCACTGTTGTTCAATAGGGACAGTTTCTCAAATCTGAATACCTGAATATTCAAATATTCGAATATTTGATCGTTGGGTATGCATTTGATTTTGATTGTTTGGATTCGAATATTGAGGGGTTTTTTTCCGCTTGGCTGACCTCCTCACACAGCAGTGAAAGTACAGTTCACATCAAAGGGAAAACAAAATATAGGTGTGGGAGCACTTTAAACTGAGCAATGACAAGGGCAGTGTGGCAGTTACGGGGTTTATTAATTAACAATTGTTTAATTTCATTACAGATCAAAATGTCAAATAGCCTACATCTTAAAATTAATCAGTAAACTGTAGGCAGCAACAAACAAACAACATTATGAACACATTGAAATAATTATATCAGATCTATTGTAGAAGAAGAACATTTAGTACGCTATAATAAAAGTTAAAAGCAAATCTTTCTACCTGAAAAAACTCTCATCCCGTCTGCTCTCCCTGGACCCCCACCCGGCTAAACTATTCACGGATTCTGCTCTGTACCTGCTCAGCTCAGCCTCTCACAGTCTGGACTCTCAGCTATAGCTTCCCCTGCTCTGCACAGCAGCCACCAACCCTTGTTCTGTACACATCTTTTCTCCCAGTCTGCCCTGCTCAATATCCAATACCTTCAACCCTGCAATAAATTCTCTTTAATCTAACTCCAGCTTCCTCTCTCTATTAGTCCTGCACTTGGGTCAACTAGCCTAGCCGTAACAAAGTTAAAAACAAAGTTTTTGTTAGAAAACCATTTGCTGTTTTAGTTAGCCTAAGCTATGAGAAGAAAGACAAGGAGCACTCTCTCTTTTTCCGTCTCTCTCTCACACACAGGCACACACACACAGTGAATTACACACTAATGGACGCCGTTATCTCTCCCCCATCAGAATCTCACTCACTTATGTCATTGCCAGAACTTTTTGGGCATTAATCCTTCTTCTGCTGTTCTGCTTCTATCTATCAAAAACATACAGCTCTTGAAATGACAGCCTGCTTATTAACAGATGTCTTAACAATTGGCATTATTTGCTGTTTTTGTATTACTATCAAAGCTTCAAAGCTCAAAGCTGTGAGGCGACAGCGCTAACCACTGCACCACCGCTCTGCCCCTCATAGACATTATCTGTAAAATAACTTTTGTGGAGTAAAAAGAACAATATTTTTATATCCTTTCATATTAAAGGATAAAATGTAAATACGTTCTAAATTGTAATTAGGTACAGCATTTGAATAAATGTACTTAGTTACCTTTCACCAATGTAGGGCTGTCTTTGACTAAGGATTTACATAGTCGAATCATGTGGGTTTTTGTGCGCGGCGATTGCAAGCCGGGGGGACACTTGGTGGCTCCGCTTTAATCTTGAGAAGCTGCAGAGCTGAAGTCTCTATTCATTCAACTTAGACTGTAAATTTCTAAATCAGCTAAACTGAGGCTTTTTGAAGACCCTTTTCTCTCTCGGCTGGCTTTCACCGATCTTGTGCAGAGTTTTGCATGCTGCACGCTGTGCTGCCGACAGCTGCATGCACGTCGCAGTTCCTCACGGGTCTATTTCAAGTAGCCAGCTATTTCAACACGATAAAATATTCTTTATGTGGTTCATCAACGGTGATAAATTATCCAAAAGTCCCGCGAGGCGCCGGCAACTCGGCACAACTCCAGTGAAGCCGGGGCTCCGTCTCTTCAGCAAGTGTTCCTCCACTGCCACTACACACATACACTCTACGCCTACACATGCGCACTGACGACCCAGGGTTAGGGTTACAATTTTGGATTTATTTAAACACTTTAAAAACATTTATTGAAAATTTTATTCTTTTTATGTGTTTATTTACAGCATTAAACGTTGAAATGTATATTGTAATAGGCTTTATATTAAATTATTGGGAGAAAACTGGTAGTTCTATGTAAAATCAGACGTTGAGCACCCCCATATCGCCAAAATTGCATGATCCTCGTTTTGCTGTGGGATTGACAGTCGAATCAGGCTCCGCCCATCGAAGCATCGAATCTTCAACTATTCGGGGTCAGCCCTACACCAATGGCTATTACTTATCTCTTTTTCTTCCTCCAAAGATTTGAATTAGTCATGAAAAGGTTTTCTTTTTCCAATTAGTAATTCCCTACAGAGTTGCAAATTGGAAATTTTCTATTTACATCATATCACTACAACTCACCAGGCATTTAGGTCACAATATGACATTTAGACTCCCACGGTGCAAATCTGTAAAACTATCACAGTGCATGGAAGCCTTCAAGCAACATTATGTAGTATTTTTATCTTTAAAAAAACAGCTTCAAAAACATGGTACAGACTTATAATAGGTTAGGTGACATCACTACTATTGCCTCTCCGGGCTGTTGAAACTTTCTATGGCACTACGTAGTATAGAGTAAAGCATTACTCTATAAGAATAGAGTAATTCTTTACAGCATCACAACACAACAAAACTTCAGTTCGTGTAAAATGTAACTTCTTTGGAAGAAGCCGGCTCTGTATTGTCAGTTTGGATATCCTGGCAGAGGCAGCAAAGATACCAAAGACGATGAAAAAAGAGACTGAGTAACCGAGCAAGACTGGACAAGAATAAATATCGGACTGGCTGTTACTCGTTGGCGTGAGCTAAAAGAGCTGAAAGGATGCAGAACTGATGCCAAGCTGGCCTTCTTTCTGTTGGACTAGTCAGTAATAACTTATTAACTGGCTTGCTGTTTCTTGTGTTGTTGCGCTTGCTTGATTATTGGCTGTGTTAGCAAAACTGTTGAAATCAGCTAGAGGTTTCACAGACAGAGGTTTAGCCAGTACCTATAAATGTTGAGTTGATGTTAGCAAACTTTGTAGATACAACACACTTGGACCGGTAAGTGCTCTTGAGTCAGTTGTTGTCTAGTTTTGTTGGCTAGCTTGCCACCCACGTTTCAAGTAACATTCAAGTTGCCGAGAGCTTCGAGGAATAAAAGGCTGCAAGACAGACACAGAGCGGCCATACTTTCTGTTGTACTAGTAAGTAATATTGCTATTTCTTGTGTTGTCGCACTTGCTTGATGTTTGGCTGTATTTGCAAAGTTGGCGACTTGCTAGTTTTTGATCATAATTTAATCAAAACAAATGCACGTGTGTAGCTGTCCTTATTTACAACAGCGTGGAATTACACTCTGAAATGGTGGGGGTGCCAAATTGACTAGTCACATTTATTTTATTTATATTTGTAGGATTTGTTGGTATAAGATAATTCAAACATACTTGATGCTTTGGTCTGAAGCCATGTAGTACAAGTCTGCTTTTGATGTAGGAGGTGAAGAGGGAGGGTGTATAAAACTAGTATGTTGACAACTGCATTATTTAAAATTAAAGGGGGTAAAGAAAGAGGAGAGAGTACAGGTATGGGAAAGACAGAGACACAGACAGTGAAAGGTGAGACGCATAATCTCCTGCTGTGCTCTACATCCCTCAGCAAATGGATTTAAATCTATTTCCGTACGTGCCAACAATTGCCATTGACACATAAACAATAATACAATGATCTAAAGAAGCATGTAGAGAAAATGTCTGGGACTGTGTGAATGAAAATGAGTACACCAAACCTACCGCATGGAGTGGATTGCCCTGATCGATCGGCACCTTGAAGTCAGCCTGGAGCTCATCAAAAGCTGTTATCTGTGAAGGACAGAGGGAAACAATTGATGACTGTATAATCGGTAAAACAGAGGGACAATATAGAATTAAATGTCTCACTCTGTGGCTCAGGAGGTGGAGTGGGTTGTCCACTTATCACAGGGTTGGCAGTTTAAACCCCACCTCCCCCACATTACACATGATGAAGCGGGAATTGCTTGGCTGGCCAGCACCCAAGCGTGATGCGTGCGATTGAATGGGTGAATGCACGGCAAAAACCTTGTAAAGTGCTTTGAATAAAGCGCTATATAAATGTAACCATTTACATAATTATTGCCAACAGCCTCCTGTATGTCTCACTACCAGCAATGCAGCATTCACAATACAAGCTGGGCTGCAGAAGACCATGTTATTACCATAGATTGTATCTACCTTTGTATTATATAACAGAAACAATTGAAATGGCACACTTAAATGTTGGCGATATTGTTTTTTTGGTCACTGCAGGGAATTGAACTCAGGTCTCTCACACCAAAGGCATGTGTCTTATCCACTGGCCCATCAGCACAGAAAAGTGATTTGAATAGAGTAAACAGCCATGCCAGCGGCTCTCTAAGGCTGTACTTAATAGTTAGTGTGCTAGTATGCTCATAATGACAATGCTAACATGTTGAAGTTGGGCAGATATAATAGATATCATGTTAACCATTTTAGTTTAGCATTTTACCATGCTAACATTTGCTAATTAGCACTAAACAAAAAAACACAGTACAGTGACCGATCCAGCCGCCATTGCTATCCATAAAGCTATGCTGATAGCATGGTTTAAAAACGACAGTGCTCAGCTGTTATAGAAATAATACTATATATTTGTTTTATATCAGTGTTAAAGATTTACATCTTAACTATGACCAGTTGACTTTGGGCTAAGTCACAGATAGAACAGGATGTCAGGAAATACTGAGAAAGCAGCTAACACTGGTTATGATCTTTTAATGGGATTTGTTGACAATAAGTATAAAATAACAGCAGCTTTATCCTTTAAGGTCATGATCATTCATTCCAGTTCTCTTCCTTCACTAATTTCCTCCAATCTGTTGCCCTGTGGCTTCAGGTTCAACATGTCTCAATGTGACTGCACCATGTCAGCATCATCTGCTGAGCAAACCAATCCAACTGCTACACCGTCTGATAAAAATAGCCCTTGAGAAGGCCATTAGATGTGGTTGGAGCTCTCTCTAAGTCGCTCTTACAGGGAGGCATCATGTACCCACATCCTCCATTTCAGAATCAACTCTCGTCATCATTAGCACGATCTGCTCCAGTTAAAATGTTGGATCAGATCTGCCCAAAGGCACACCATTTGCATGTTAGAGAAATCAGAACCCCTTGAATTGGTGTCATTTGATTCCTCCGCCCACCCACTGCTGTAATGGTAATGACAATGGCAAGTAGTGATGAACAGCAGATAAAATACGCAACAGTTCCATTGGTGTTGCATGTGTTGCAATGGAGGCAATTGCACTACAAAGATAGATGCCATTGCTTGATTAGTTGGGTCTCAGAAGGGAAGTGTGTACGCGTGAGAGAGACACTACAGGAAGAGATATGAGGGCCAGTCAGTGTATCCGCATGAGGTGCGTACACCATGGGTGAGTATACCACTGCGCATTGTGTATGTATGTATGTGTGTGTGTTTGTGTGTGTGTGAGTCCAGAGTAAGACAAATGGGATTACTGTTTGTGTGGTACAAACATGTTATCCGTGCACTGTGTGCTACATGAGAAAGAAACAGAGGAATCAGTGGCATGTGAGTTTGCACATGTGAATGTGTGTGTTAGCCCAGTATTGGGAATGAACATCAGCGAGACGGCAGAGCTTTGTACCAATCCAGGGTTATTTTCCTGGGCTCGCCCCCACACTGACAGGCAGCTCTTAACATGTTATTTCCCAGTGGATCAGTGATCCTGACTCATTGCCTTGCTCTGTTACAGTGTGTTATCAAACCTCGAGCTATTCATCATGGGTGATGGGAACACACATACACACCATAAACCGTATACACTCGCATAGTCTTCATGGGTGTATGAATCCAAGCATACAGTGAAGCTCTGTACGCATTTGCGCACAGGAACACACTCTTCCACACTGACACACACACACACATAAAAGCGCAACAGAAATATCTCGCCTATACATCCTTATGTGCATCATACAAAAAGAACATTATAGAGCAGATGTTTTAATGGATGTCAAGCTTAAAGGATCATTCAATTAAGTCTTATGCTCTCTTCATCTTTTTGCCGTCAGTTCTGCCACTTATGATAGCAATGTACTCAAAGTAAATGCAGAGATGTGGAAACACGACAACATCGCTAAAAAAAGGTATCCTAATCAGAGGCCTGAACTGGCTCTTTTTGACTTGAAGAAACAGTAGTTCAACTCCAACACTTCAAGGTACGGGGTACATGGTAGATATATTGGTAGGAGTGTGTATCTGCTGTTATGACCTGCTGCAAACGAGATGCATAGCCAGACACCAGCTTCTGGCCACGTTGCTGAGGAATCTTAGCCCATTCCTCATGAGGCCTCCAGTTCAGTAATAGTCCTGGGTTTGTGTGCTGCAACTGCCTTCTTCAAATCCAACCAGAGATTTTTTTCTGGTGTTCAGGTTAGGTGACTGTGATGGCATCTGTAGATTCTTCTAGGACTTCCTCTGCAACCAAGCCTTGGTGGAATTTGAGGTATGCTTGGGATCATTGTCCTGTTGGAAGGTCCAATGACACCCAAGCTTCAGCTTACTCACAGATGGCATGACGTTTTCTCCTAGGATTTCCTCATACTTCAATGAATCCATCTTGCCTTCCACATGCTGCAGGTTTCCGCTGCCAGAGGATGCAAAGCAGCCCCAGAGCATCACCGAGCCACCACCATGCTTGACTGTTTGAGTGTTCTTATCAGTGTATGCTTCATTCTTCTTCCTCCAGACATACCGCTGATCTATCGTGCCAAAAAGGTCCAGTTTTGTTTCCCAAAACTTCTGTGGCTTATTTATATGATCTTGAGCATATTGGAGCGGACTGTTCTGGCATAGAAACTGTACCTGCGTAGTGTACTCACCTTACTGTACTAACTGAGACCTTCACCGTCATCTAGCTCTGTGAAGTTTGGGATAAACAAATCTAATTTCTTAGTGTTGCATTCTGATATATGTGTATTTGCTATATTTTAAGAGGAAGCGCATCTTTGTCTCTACCTCAAAAGAGTGACCGCACACTCTTTTATCTGTTCGCAGCCAGGACTTCTTGTGTCGGCCTTTCCCTAGACTGTGGTCACTGAGTCGGTATTTGGATATGTGTTTGCTTCGTAAGAGATACTTATGTTTATTTAATTTAATAATTGGATTTACATGATTAATGGTTGGAAAGAAATGATGGTCTGAGGTTGAACAGTATTATGTGTTATTTGATCAGTGACTCTAAGGACCATATGTCACCAAAACTTATGTGTTTTTTTTAACCATGAACAATCAAGAATTTATTAATAAATAATCTCTATCTATCTATATATATAAATGCAATTTCATCTTGAATCTCTGCTTTATTTCTAAAAAAAAAGGCAAACCATATGCATGTTTTGCCACAAAATATGATGCTTGTCCAATATGCAGCAAACATGACATGTCTGAACTCTGCTTGCAGCTTTTTTGCAGCAATTTATTGTGTTTTAGTGTGCTGATGTAAATGTGTGCTTATTTTCACCATCTTCTAATGGGTTAAAGCTATGACCAGCCAAACATGCTTTTTCCTCCATGCAGCCTTCAAGGCATTCATATGGAAATAACAAGATTAAAAACAACAACAGCAATCAGAGGAGCCTCCACTCTAATGTTAAAGACTACAAGGTCCACTTTAATTATTCAAAGTCCTGTCTCAATTATTCATTGGGATTTTAAACCCACTCAATATGGGGTTTTCTGCACAGCAATTCCTCACCGACCTCTGATGGGCAATTTAGAGCCCAATGAAACTGGTGCCAAACACTAAGGGCCCGATTTACTAACATCCAGAATAAAGAGTACTAAATTGCGTGTGCATTCTAAAACATTGCAATTTTAGTACCTGTTATGGGTGATTTACTAAGAATCATTGCGTAGATGACAACAGGATCAAACACAATGGAGGTGGCTGTATTTAAATGAGGGTTTAAATTAATGGTTTCTGCTGTGGAGAGTCGGGAGGGAAATCAGCCACTGCGTAAAAACCTTGGTTTGTTTCGTTCAGTGCGTCCCGACTATATGGAAATCGTATGTGCCTGCCTGAGATTGAAGTACTTGAAGTACTTGGGACAGAACAACTTGAAAAACTGCTTTGGGAAACCCGAGCAGAAACAGATACAGTATGCTGGAATGACCCAAACGTGAGGAAATGCCAGCAGATCGTGCTTCATCCAGCCAGAGGGAACAATCACTGACCATCCGTGCCGTGCCCGGTCGCTCTGCGATCTCCTGTCCCTGGCCCTGTATGCCCCAACGCTCTAAACTCCCCATTCCCTCTTCCATACCTACAATGGGTTGTGTTGCTATTACGACCAGTGCGCTGTGAACAGTTGGTGATCGTTCCCTCCAGCTGGATGAATTTTTGTGATCCACGCTGCAGCTGGGGGCTCTCCGCAACGCAACGCAACTTTCTAAATTCTTCCATCTCACGGAGAAAAGAAGTCAGGTCGAAACGAAATTTGCTTTATTGGCATGAATGTTAAGGCAACAGTATCGCCAAAGCTAAATGAAAATACAAAATACAAATTAAATTCAATTCATATAATTCATCGAATAAATAAAATAAAATAATTGTATTTCAATACATTGGATATAGAATAATATTATCTAATATTGTTCATTTCTCTATGTTTTCTTTCATTACGGCTGTGTCTCCTTCTGGCAACAACAACAGCAGCCATCTGTGCAACACTTTGCACCTTCCTTTCAAACGTATTAAATACAGAGGCTGTTGCACTAACATGAAATTGCGTTTAGACTTGTT